GATTATGATTCTGCTGATGCAAATGCTGAGCTTGATGTTGACGACGCTGGTGGTGATGATGATGATGCTGCTGATGATGAAGATGAATACGAAGATGAATATGATGATGGCGATGATGATGATGATGCTGATGATGATGATAATGATGATACTTATGATAATGATGATGACGATGATGATGACGATGATGATGATGATGATGATGATGATGATGATGATGATGATGGTACTGGTGATGATGCTGATGCTGATGTTGATGTTGATGTTGATATTGATGCTGCGGCTAATGATGATGATAAGGTTGTTGCAGATGATGGTGATGCTGATGCTGATGATGATGATGGTGGTGATGATGCTGCCGATGATGATGATTCGGATGATACTATTGATGATGATTAATATGATGATTTGGGTGGAGATGATCGGCGCTGGCGTACAGGGATGCAGGGTCGGTGTCTGACCCTTCTGGTTCTAAACGCGATGCGTGACCCGAGGCGAGAGCCCGAAGCCCCCCTGGGCCCACGGCGGCGCCCCAGGACTCGTTCGGGCCCAAGCCGGCGCCGCCCAGAGTTCCAAGTCGAACTCAGCCGACGATGGGCAGCCCAAGGGCGGGCCGCCCACACGGAGAGGGCCGAAGGCCCCAGGCCGCACGCGGCAAACACGGAGGCGACGCGGCTAGCAGGTCCGAGGGCAGCGCCGCGGAGGGGGGGGGGAGGGGGGGGTGGAAAGGGGAGGCGCGCGGGGCGCTCTAGCTTTAGGGTCGCGCCCATGCGGCGTGCCAGAAGCAAAGCCCGCGTCGGGCTGCCGCGGCTGCTGGCCTCACCGCGCGCCTCAGCGTCCGCCCCTCGGCGACCTGCTCCTCGGCCGTCCCGCGCCGTCGAGGAGGAGCGGCACGGGCCGTGCTCCTCCTGCTCTGGCCGCTCCGCCGCGCGTGCGGTGCGTCCCCTGGCGCAGGCGGCGCATTGCCGCGGCCTGGCGGTCCGTCGTCTTGCCGCTGCACTCCGCGCGGAAGCCCACCACGCGCGGGCCGTCTGCGTAGCGGCCGCAGATCGCGCAGTACACTAGCGCATCGGTGCCGTCGCCGACTGGCCACAGGCGGTGGCCCTGCGCCCCGTTGGCATTCACCATCCTGGACGTTCCTGCTTAGTACGGTGGGCGCCTCGGCTGCTGCCGACGCCGCTGCGGCACCTGCTGCGAGGTTGGCACCTCCGTCGCCCGCTGCCTCGGCGGCGCCGCCTTCTCAGACGCCGTCTGCCGCCTCGGCTGCCGCTCGCGCTGCCGCCACTGCTGCGGCCAGCGACGCCATGGCCGCGGCCGCCCTGGCCAGGCCTGCGGGCCCACTGGCATCGGCTCTGCCCTGTGCCGCGGCCGCGCCCTGGTTGGCCTGGCGCCCGATCCACTGCGGAAGGACTGCGCTGCCATGGCCTCCGTCAGCAGCCGCTCCACCTCGTCCTCGAGCTCCTAACCTGCGAGGCTGCGGACCTGCTGCCATCGCTGAATGCGGTCTCCCTTGCTCGCTGCCAGGCTGCTGGCATATCTCCTCTGCCAGCCGCCTTGGCTCGGCCTCGGCCTGTCCGCCGTGAGCGCCACAAACAAGCCCGCAATCTCGTCCGTCATGAGCGAAGTCGTCACGTAGGCGATGCAGTCCGCCGTCCAGCCGCGGTTCGCTGCCGCCTCACCGACTGGCCCGAGGCTGCCGATTCGCAGTCTTGCCAGCGTGGCCATGCGGTTCCAGCTCTTTGCCCTCCGCCCAGGAGGGGTGGGTCGCCGCCTTCACTGACCTCCCCGCCCCCTTGCGGCTCCGCCGATGGCCTTGGCTGACGTCGTGACGACCTGCGCAGCTGCCACATGCGCTTGATCCGTGAGTGCTACGCACTCCATCTGCACCGCCTCGAGCTTCCGCCGCGCTGCTGCGGTTGCCGCCTCGCAGGTCTCTTCGGCTGCCCGCTTGGTGGCCACGCGCTTGTTGACCTGGCCGATCTTGGTGTCGATGGCTCGCAACTGCCCGCTCGGTAGCCTGGCGGCTAGAAGCGCCGCCGTGATCGAGGTGGTCTCTTGCTTGTACTTCTCACGGAGTCCCTGCATCACCTCTTCCGTGCTCCCGAGGGCCGCCAGCTTAGCCATGATTGGTCGCAGCGTCTCCAGCTTGTCGCCGTCATCCGCCTCGGACGCCCCCGACCCGCTGGATCAAGCTGCGGAAAAGACGTGTATCCATCTCTACCGCGTCTTTGAATTTTGGGTTCCCTTCCCCAGACACCAGAGGCGCAGTGGATATGGATAAAAATGTGGCCCCTAGCGGCCAGCTTAGTATTCAAATCTACTACGCCTCGGCCTCTTAGCGCCCCTTCTCAGACAGTCCAAGACGCATTGGATATGGATATAGATCTTGCCCGCACCAGCTGCGCTGCGGGAGGATGACCGCTCCAGCGCCCTGTTATGCTTCTTGAGCCCCTCCACCCTACGCCGCAGCCTGGCCCTGCGGGATGCGGAGCGCCGTCGCTCGCTCCATGGTGGCCGCTCGGCGTCACAGTCGCGGCAGGTCGTCCGCGCTGCCCAGTTGCTAGTGGTTCCGCACGGACATGGCCAGGGCTCCTTGTCGCCTCCCTTGCCGCCGCCGCATGCTGCCATCCTGTTGCTTGGCGAGGAACCGTGGTGCCTGTCCAGGAGGTCTGGCGCCCATCGCCAGCCGCGCCCGGAGCTGCTCGCTCTCCTTGCCAGCCCATGCCGCCATCAGCAGCCGCGCTCGCTGCCGATTGCGGCGCGCGCGGAGATACCAGGCGGCATCGAGCCTAGTTGAGCTAGTCGCAGCGCGAGAGCTCGCGCCAGTCTGGCTGGCGCACCAAAGCCGTCAAGCCAAACTGATGATGATGATGCTGCTGTTGATGATGATGATGATGCTAATGATGATGGTAATGCTGATGCTGATGATGATGACGCTGATGCTGATTACGATGATGATAATGATGATGCTGATTATGGTGATGGTGGTGATGATGATACTGATGATGATGATTATGATAATGGTGATGATGCTGATGATGGTTATGATGGTGGTGATGAGGAGGAGGATTAGCATAGTGGTGATTATGGTGATGATGATGGTGGTGATGATGATTAATGTGATGGTGATGATGGTGATGAAGGTGATGCTGATGCTGATGGTGATGCTGATGCTGATGGTGATGATGCGGATTATGATGGTGATGATGATGATGGTGATGGTGATGGTGATGGTAATGATGATGGTGATGATGGTGATGATGGTGATGATGATAATGATGGCGATGGTGGTGAATAGGAGGATGAGGATGCTTATGATAAAGATGCTGGTGAGGATGAGGAGGATGAAGAGGACGAGGAGGACAGGGATAAGGATGATGATATTGATGATGATGACGATTCTGATGGTGATGCTGATGTTGATGCTGATGCTGGTGGTGGTGATGATGCTGGTGGCGATGCTGATGATGATGATGGTGATGGTGATGGTGAGGATGATGATGGTGATGGTGATGGTGAGGATGATGATGATGTTGCTGAATTATGATGATGATGATGATGCTGCTGGTGATGATGCTGTCCATGACGATGACGATGACGATGCTCATGATGATGGTGATGGCGATGGTAATGGTGGTGATGATGGTGTTGTTGTCGAGAATGGTGATGGTTGTGTTGGCGATGGTGATGTTGATGACGATGGTGATGGTGATAGTGAGGGCCAGGATGAGGATGAGGAGAAGCAGGAGGAAGAGGCGGATGAGCAGGAGGAGGAGGAAGAAGAGGAGGAGGAGGAGGAGGAGGAAGAGGAAGGCCATCACACGTGACACCATTCGTCTTCACTATTTGAGGAGCTCTCATGGAAGTCGGTTCGGCCGTTTTGGGGCTGTCTTGACCTCCTGTGATGCAGACTTGGGGGTCCTTTGGGGCCCTCTTGAGCTGTCTTGGAGCATTTTTAGACAATCTTTGAGCTCCCTTGGGCCATATGGGGGTCCTCTTGGCCATGAGGTGGGTGTCTGGGGGCCATCGTGGGGCCGTCTTGCCGCCGTCTTGGACAGTCAAATGGCTTTCTACGGCTGTATTGGGTCCGACGAGAGGCCCTCGTGGGCCGTCTTGGATACCTCTTGGGCCCTCATCAGGTCTTTCTGGGCCACCTTTGGACCCTCGTGGGGGCCTCTTGGGCCGTCTTGGGGTCATCGTGGAGGCCTCTTAGGCCGTCTTGAGCTGACGGATGCCCAAAAACGAGGGAATGCGACAATCATTCAAAAGCCCAAGGAGGATCAATGATGTGGCTTCTTCCGACCCTGTACGAGCTCCCCGTGTGGCCCTTTTGGGCCCTTTTGGAGGCACCTTGGGCAGTCTTGAGGATATGTTCGGCTCGTCGTCGAGGCATCTTGGGCTATCGTGGTGTCTGCGGTTGCTTGCATGGGCCGCTTTGGAAGCTCCGGACCCTGACCCATAGTTTTTGACAAAGGATCGCGGACCCGGGAGCGCTGATCCATAGTTTTGATAAGGGCTCGCGGCCTCGGGAGGGGGGGCGATGTACGCAGATATCTGCTACTAGAGGGGGGGCTATCAGAACGCAGAAGTCTTGCTAGACAGCACTTGGAATTCTTCCGCGCCTCAACGTGCCAGGGGGCACGGCGGCAGATTAAAGACCCGAGCCAGCCCGCGGCCCGGCACAGTCGCCCGCCTCCCGCCCCATCCAGCCTCACAGCACCACACACCCCAGTACTCCACAGCCTCCGTCTGCAACGCACACCGCAGTACTGCACAGCCTCCGTCTGCAACACAACACTCAGTACTACACAGCCTTCGTCCCCAAGACGGCCCCCTTGAAGCTTTATTAACTATACACCCGAGCCCTCTTTTTTGGTTCCTTCGTCCCTCCTTCCCCTTCCCTCCTGGCCCTGGTTGAGGGGGGTGGGAAAGGGTTTTCTCCCCGCCTCCCACTCCTCACCGAGGAAGCCACAGCCTGAGGGATTGCAGTCTCCTGCGAGGGCGCACGAGGAAGCCTTGATGGGGGCCAGCAGCTTCGAGGAGCTGTTTGTGCTTCTGAAGGCCTTGCCCGCCCAGAAGGCGCAGCCAGACGCGCGGCTGTTACTCGAGGCCCAGGGCAGAACACAGCACGAGAGGTGGACGGGGCGGATCGGGGCGAGAGGACGACGGGGCGAGGAGGGAATAAGAGCTGACCCCCAGGCTGGCTTCAACAGAAGGCTGGCCCAGGCCTGTCGGCGTGGACTCATTGCGCATCAGGAGGATGAGGAGGAGCAGGAGGGGGCGGAGGATGGGGGGGGGTCGAGGAGGAGCAGGAGCTGAGGGGGGGAGGGCGGGGAGGGAGGGAGCATGGTATTACCATAACCCGTGATGAAACGCGTGCCACAATCACTGACCATCGCACGTTGCTTGTGTGGGTCCAGTGCTGCAGAACCGCGCAACGAGTAAGCACCAGAGATATTTTTGACGCGGGCAGTACGTGGACTATGCGCGGGCGTTTATCTCTCCCCGTCTGGACGAGACTTAGTCGCGTGCCTGATTACTCAATTGCGGCTGTGGCAGAGATCGTTTGGGCCCCCTATCGAGTCCCCGCCTTGCTTTGATGTTCGCGCGCCCTGCTCAAGATGGAAGGTCGGCGGAAGGCAGGCAGGGGAGCGACGGGCAACACAGCAGTGAGTATGGGATCTTGGTCCGTGAATTTGCGGGTGAGGGGTTGGTAAGGCTTCGGGTTGCGCACGGACAGCCCCCCCAGGTAATCCAGGCTGGCCTCAACAGGCACCCCGAGTAGTTCCAGATGGCCTCGGCAGGCGGTCTCAACACCGCAACCCTGGTGCGCTACCGGAGGCGGCGCCAGGGTGTTGAGACCGCCCTGGACTACTCGGGGGCCTTGTTCTGGTAAGGCCAGCCGAGACTACCTGGGGGGCCGTCTGTGGTGTGCAACCCGAAGCTTTACGATGCAGGACCAGGTGTTCAGGCTAGCGCCCAACTGGAGCCCTTCAACATTCGATTTCAGAGGCCACGATGTCGTGTTGTTTATTGATGCTCGGCAGGTCCAGGGAGTTCACTTTTGCGCCCGTTCGAGTAAGTAGGTTGCTGCCCAACTTTGCAGATTAATATATACGGCCTTTCTGCGCGGGCATTGATCGCCCATGGTCCCAGGTCACTGAATTGCATCGCTTCGGTTGTGCATGTGTGTCTTGGCCGCGTTTGCACAACATGCAGTATCCATCACGTCGTATGCGCATATGGCGTGGAGCATAGGTGTGGTCTCGTCGTGCATGCCCCAAGGCATGATAATGCCACAAAAGGCACTGCACCGCCAAGGTATTTCAGTAGAGCCGGTGCAACTACCAACTACAACATTACCCTGTGACGCACCCAACCTTTTCTATACATGAGGCGATTGTACTCAGGACCACTCAATGCTGACTGGCATTCTGAAGGACCCGCAGTGCGCGTCCTTCCGCTGGGCCTCCCAGGAGCCCACGAACGTGGCGACAGTTGCGCAGATCGCGAGCCCCCCAGGGGGCGGCGAGGTCCCGAGGTGGTCCGCGTGGGACCCACCTCCGATGGGCCTCCCAGGAGCCCACGAAAGTGGCGACAGTTGCGCAGATCGCGAGCCCCCCAGGGGGCGGCGAGGTCCCGAGGTGGTCCGCGTGGGACCCACCTCCGGGCCTCCCAGGAGCCCACGAAAGTGGCGACAGTTGCGCAGATCGCAAGCCCCCCAGGGGGCGGCGAGGTCCCGAGGTGGTCCGCGTGGGACCCACCTCCGATGGGCCTCCCAGGAGCCCACGAAAGCGGCGACAGTTGCGCAGATCGCAAGCCCCCAGGGGGCGGCGAGGTCCCGAGGTGGTCCGCGTGGGACCCACCTCCGATGGGCCTCCCAGGAGCCCACGAAAGTGGCGACAGTTGCGCAGATCGCGAGCCCCCCAGGGGGCGGCGAGGTCCCGAGGTGGTCCGCGTGGGACCCACCTCCGCTGGGCCTCCCAGGAGCCCACGAAAGTGGCGACAGTTGCGAAGATCGCAGACGGCACAAGAGAAGAGGAAAAGGGAAGACAGGAAACAGGAGAGAAGGAGGAGAGGAGGAGAGGAGGAGGAGGGAGGGAGAAGGAGGGTGGAGACCACACTGCTCTTTTCGAAACGAGAACCCAACACAGGAGGGTTGGGGAATTACCCTGGCGACGTACCCAACCCCTGCGCAATGCAGGGCATGAGTAGCTTGGGAGACGTCATACGGAGGTGATGCCCTGACATGGGCGCATATATTTCTGCGAGCGGCATTCGTGAGGCTCGCAGCCCCCAAGGATTCCGATGTCTCGCTCAGATCTGCGCGGTGCCCCGCTCCGCTGAACCCGCCACCAGCCTTCGAAAGTTGCGACGGTTTCGCAGATCGCAGCCCCTCAAGGACGGCGAGGCCCCGCTCAGATCTGCGCGGTGCCTCACTCCGTTGGACCCACAAGCAGCCCTCGAAAGTGGCGGCAGTTTCGCAGATCGCAGCCCCCCAGGCACGGCGAGGTCCCGCTCAGATCTGCGCGGTGCCTCACTCCGCAGGACCCACCAGCAGCCCTCGAAAGTGGCGACAGTTTCGCAGATCGTAGCCCCCCCAGGGACGGCGAGGTCCCGCTCAGATCCGCGCGGTGCCTCACTCCGCTGGACCCACCAGCAGCCCTCGAAGGTGGCGACAGTTTCGCAGATCGCAGCCCCCCAGGGACGGCGAGGTCCCGCTCAGATCTGCGCAGTGCCTCACTCCGTTGGACCCGCCAGCAGCCTCCGAAAGTGGCGACAGTTCCGCTGATCGTTATGCTGGCCCCCAGGCATCCCTCGAAAGTTGCGACGGCTTCGCAGATCGAAGCCCCCAAGGACGGCGAGGTCCCGCTCAGACCTGCGCGGTGCCTCATTCCGCTGGACCCACCAGCAGCCCTCGAAAGTGGCGACAGTTTCGCAGATCGCAGCCCCCCAGGCACGGCGAGGTCCCGCTCAGATCTGCGCGGCGCCTCACTCCGCAGGACCCACCAGCAGCCCCCGAAAGTGGCGACAGTTTCGCAGATCGCAGCCCCCCAGCGGCGGCGACGTCCCGCTCAGATCCGCGCGGTGCCTCACCCCGCTGGAACCACCAGCAGCCCTCGAAAGTGGCGACAGCTTCGCAGATCGCAGCCCCCAGGGACGGCGAGGTCCCGCTCAGATCTGCGCGGTGCCTCACTCCGCAGGACCCACAAGCAGCCCTTCCTTGAAAGTGGCGACCGCTTCGCAGATTGCAGCCCCCAGGCACGGCGAGGTCCCGCTCAGATCTGCGCGGTGCCTCACTCTGCAGGAGCCACAAGCAGCCCTCGAAAGTTGCGGCAGTTTCGCAGATCGCAGCCCCCCCAGGGACGGCGAGGTCCCGCTCAGATCTGCGCGGTGCCTCACTCTGCAGGACCCGCAAGCAGCCCTCGAAAGTGGCGACAGTTTCGCAGATTGCAGCCCCCAGGCACGGCGAGGTCCCGCTCAGATCTGCGCGGTGCCTCACTCTGCAGGAGCCACAGGCAGCCCTCGAACGTTGCGACGGCTTCGCAGATTGCAGCCCCCAGACACGGCGAGGTCCCGCTCAGATCTGCGCGGTGCCTCACTCTGCAGGACCCACAAACAGCCCTCGAAAGTTGCGACAGCTTCGCAGATTGCAGCCCCCAGGCACGGCGAGGTCCCGCTCAGATCTGCGCGGTGCCTCACTCTGCAGGACCCACAAGCAGCCCTCGAAAGTTGCGACAGCTTCGCAGATCGCAGCCTCCCCAGGCACGGCGAGGTCCCGCTCAGATCTGCGCGGTGCCTCACTCTGCAGGACCCACAAGCAGCCCTCGAAAGTTGCGACAGCTTCGCAGATTGCAGCCCCCAGGCACGGCGAGGTCCCGCTCAGATCTGCGCGGTGCCTCACTCTGCAGGACCCAAGCAGCCCTCGAAAGTTGCGACACTTTCGCAGATCGCAGCCTCCCCAGGGACGGCGAGGTCCCGCTCAGATCTGCGCGGTGCCTCACCCCGCTGGACCCACCAGCAGCCCCCGAAAGTGGCGACAGTTTCGCAGATCGCAGCCTCCCCAGGGACGGCGAGGTCCCGCTCAGATCTGCGCCGTGCCTCACTCTGCAGGAGCCACAAGCAGCCCTCGAAAGTGGCGACAGCTTCGCAGATTGCAGCCTCCAGGCACGGCGAGGTCCCGCTCAGATCTGCGCGGTGCCTCACTCTGCAGGAGCCACAAGCAGCCCTCGAAAGTTGCGACGGCTTCGCTGATTGCAGCCCCCAGGCACGGCGAGGTCCCGCTCAGATCTGCGCGGTGCCTCACTCTGCAGGAGCCACAAGCAGCCCTCGAAAGTTGCGACAGTTCGCAGATTGCAGCCCCCAGGCACGGCGAGGTCCCGCTCAGATCTGCGCGGTGCCTCACTCTGCAGGACCCACAAGCAGCCCTCGAAAGTTGCGACAGCTTCGCAGATCGCAGCCTCCCCAGGCACGGCGAGGTCCCGCTCAGATCTGCGCGGTGCCTCACTCTGCAGGAGCCACAAGCAGCCCTCGAAAGTTGCGACGGCTTCGCTGATTGCAGCCCCCAGGCACGGCGAGGTCCCGCTCAGATCTGCGCGGTGCCTCACTCTGCAGGACCCACAAGCAGCCCTCGAAAGTGGCGACAGTTTCGCAGATCGCAGCCCCCCCAGGGACGGCGAGGTCCCGCTCAGATCTGCGCGGTGCCTCACCCCGCTGGACCCACCAGCAGCCCCCGAAAGTGGCGACAGTTTCGCAGATCGCAGCCCCAATCGTCGGCGAAGAGAGGGCAGGAGGAGGCGGGAGGCGGCAGGAGAAGGGACGCGACCACAGTGCTCTATTCAAAACGAATACCCAAGGAGGGTTGGGAACAAATGGAAGAGCGCGAGGTCCAAGAAATCGGGCGCAACTACCTGCAGGCAGCCGAGCGGGATTCAGAAAAGCACTGGACAGAACAACGTGTCGCAGACTTTCGTATGCACGCGCTCCAGCCTTAGCCCTGCACCATTCCTCCGGAGTGAGCCGCTATTGGCATGCCGATTGAGACAGCCAGAGACGCTTTCCCCGCCCAAGTCGTGCAGATGCATCTGGCGAGTACGAGGTACCACCCGTCGCGTAAACTCATATGCAGCCATAAACAAAGAGCTCGACAACGGTGCGAACGAGGCGCTTAACCGCATGGACATTCTGAAGCTCAGCGCCGTTCGCCTACAATCAAAGCGGTCACTACATGCGCGCGCAGCAGGCTGCGAACAGACAGGCTGGGCAAAGACGCCGCAGTGACCGCACAGCACGACCGGCACTCACGCATGAGACCTGGGAGTATCGCCACCTCCTGCAGGAGAGTACGAAGGATGGCACCTGTCAAAATGCCGCAACTCCCACGACGGCAATCCAGCTGTAGGGGGAACGTAGTGGACGCGCTGGTGGGGTGACTCCTTGTCAATACCCAACGGATACGCAGGCGCTGTGCCCCAAAAGCGGGAGTCTCATTTGACGCGTAGAATTCGACGCCGTTGTTTTGTTGCCCAAGCGCCTTGATCGGATCTTGCACCAGACGACAGCCTCTGGAGAGCGTGCCAGACATCCAACATCATTACCCGTCCCTCAGGATGTTGCCATGCATCCGATAGCAGTCGACGCGCTCGCGCCCTCGCAAGGCAACGATGCCCAGAAGCACGAGAAAGCGGGACCCAAACCATGAGAGCCAGAGTTGCATCGGCTAGGCGAGAGTACAATCATTTGACGCAGAGGGCTGATAGGTCGGGGACAACCCTCTTCTGCGAATCTCCCCGAATGCCGTTGTTCTTTGTGGTGCAGTTCGGAGCTCACCAACTTTACACCAAGGCGCTTGGGGCCCACGGTGGTGCCCGCTGCCACGTGCTAAGTTGGTTTGGGTGCTACGCCAAAGGCCATGCGCGAACAATGAGAGTGATCACATGCAGAGGGGAAATCCACGACATGTAGTCACTGGTATGTTCCGCTAGGAAGGTAGAGAGGGGGAAGAGGCAAGCAAGGTGCGCTCGAGTCATATCTGACGTCCTACCCCTCCCTCCCATCCCTGACCATGGCGTAGATCTCCTTTCTACTCACACAGTCGGATGTCGTAGCATGGCATAGCATCACATGGCATAGCATAGTATTTAAGATTAACGCGTAGCATGCCATAGCATGGCGTGGCGACGCCCCAAAGTGGGGGGGGGCCTTCTGCGGCCTAGAAAATCAACGAATCGACACCAAGTGTGAAGTCACTTCCGACGGTTTCTTCGGGTGGCCATTTGGTTTGATGTTGGGACTTGTAGGAAGAACCGAAACCATGCCGTGGCGTGGTCACCGAATGTGTAATCACTTCCGATTTTTTTTGGGGGGGAGGGCATTTTCTAGATGTTGGGGCCTATTTAGAAGGACCGACAACCATGCCGTGGCATGGCGCTGGAAGTAATGGCGCCAGCGCTACAGCGGGAGCACGATTCGGAACCGACAGAAGCGCGGAAATCAGGCCAGCGCTGCAGCGGGAGCACGATTCGGAACGAGTGGTATCCCGAACATGAGGCCAGCGTTTCAGCGAGAGCAGCATTTTGATGAAAACCAATACAAGCGAAAACCCGTTCCCCGGGATTCCTGTGTAAAAAATCAAATACGCGGAGGGGGGCCGAATATCTCCCAGACGCCACCAGGGAAGATAGGAGAGAAGTGCTCAGATTGCTTAACTTGTAGAGAGAAGGAGAATGGAGAAGATGTCTCTGTGGCCCACATCGCAAGGCGCCCGCTCGGGCATCCCAGAACGATGCGTCTGGAAAACAAAAGGCTTCCGATCACCGCTCGGCTCCTCCTCCCTCCTCTTCTTCCCCCGCATTCTCCCTCCTGGTCCGCATCCTCCTCCTCCTCCTCATCATCATCTCCTCGTCATCCCGAACATGTCAGACGCAGTTTGCAAGAATGGGAGCGCTGTCGCCCTGGGCCTGCCAGAAGCGTGTGGATACGGACGTTCCTGGGAAGTGGAGAAGACAACGCCTCCGCGTGCAAGGCGTAGGCTTTCGGCCCCGCGCCATCTATCCCCCGTCTCCGCCTCCTCTGTCTCCTTCGTCTCCTCTGCCTTCGCTTCCCCGGCCTCCTCGCCACCCTCTTAGTCCTCGTCTTCGCCGCTGTCGTCGTCGTCGTCCTCCTCCTCCCAGAGGCCACGAGGGCGCTTCTGCCCTCGGCGACCGAAGCCATGACCGGCTCCGAGATCAGGGGCGCGGATTCGCCGTCCTCGAGTTCCGTGGTGGGGGGGCAGGTGGCCAGGCGGGCCTGAAGTCAGGGGGGGGGGCTTTAGGGCCATGGGGGCCCTGTTCTTCCTCGTCCTCCTCCTCATCACCCTTCTTCTCTTACCTGGATCCCCTCTCCCTCCGACCCCCCATCAGCATTGGACTTGCGCTCCCACCATCGAATGCCTCCCGAATTGAACGAAACCACGCTCATGCATATACAGTGCAGTTTTTTATGTGCGGCACGCTGCGTCCCAGCCTCAATCCTCATCATACTTACGTTCACTTCCTGCGTGCAGCTCGAGCTGCCATCAGCATGTAATTAGATGAGATCGGCACCTGCTGCGCCTCATGCTACTTGCGCTCCTTCCAGCTGGAAGGCCGCCTCAATGACCACGCCGTTTCGGAGGTGCGACTGGGCAACAGACCCCCCCTGCGGACGCGGGCGAGCAGGCTCGGCCTGACTAGATGTCCCGCATGGATCGCCGCGCAGAGAATCTGAAAGAGCTCCAAGCGGTGCCATCACACAGCAGCATTATACCACTATACGTTGGCGAAGCAGCACGATTCACGCAAGATGTGGCTCAGACCGCGAACAAGGAAACAACTCTTGGTGGTGACGGACCAGCGGCACGGGCGCCACCACGCCCGCCTATGCATGTTGCGTTCCATCGCGAGGGCACGTGGCGGCAGGACTAGGCATCGGTGAGCGCGCTCATGATTGGGCAACGCGTGGAACACACCACTCTGTCAGGAGTGGCACGGTCTGCGCCGCGGATTCGACGCTCCACATTGCTGCCGTCATTGGGGTTAGTGAGGAGTTCGTCGCATCCGGATAAGAAGACTGGCACAGATGGCGAGGACGGTTGCATCAGAAGCAAGCCAACCAGATGCGGCCAACCTCCGCGCAGGCTGTGCCCATTGGAAGCGATGTTTGGTGCTTCGCGGTATCCGCTTCCCGACGCCAAGCGTGGCAGGCTTGCAGACCACTGGCCAGCCAGCCGACATGGCCAAGGAGTCCGCGTGACTACTGGCAGGGCTTCTTCGCAAAGGGTATCGACCAATTGCCAGATCACCAAATGCCGCTCTGGAGCATCGCCGGTGTTTGACGCGCCCACGCTCGAAGAGCCAGCATGAACTATCCATCAGATAGAGGAGGTGCTCAGCCCCTGGCCCATATGAAATCCATTCAGTCTCTGGGTAGCCAGGGAAGGGCCATCGAGGAAGTGTGGGACCTCGCGATCCACTTGCGCAGCGGGGGGACGATTCTAAGGCTGCTGACCACGTCGGACTTTTGCTTGTTGCTGACGGAAGGGGGGCGACGTTCAGGATCTCCTGGACTGCGCGAGGCTGGCGTCCCATATCGTATAGGATGACCAAACATTGAATCGGAAATTCGAATAGGCCATCGCAATTCATCGATTTTGTCGAAATCGGCAAGCAGGTCGGAAGGCATCGGAATCACAAGAAAGCCCAAGCCGAGGCATACACGAGGAAATCTAAACCAAAGTCGGAATCCAGAGTCGAATCGAATCGAGATCGGAGTCCTCGAAACCAGTTCGCTCGAATCGACAGGGTCGAAGTGGTTCCTGTCTCAGGCCGCTAAACTTCAGGAGCTCGGACGCCGAGGCCACGGCCAGCGCGCTCAACCGAGAGCTGACGAGGCTCGCCCAGGAAGGGGTGCCCGTTGTCCAGCGTAATTCCGTTGCTGTTCACAGCCTCACCGTTCGTTGCGTGATATCCGCCCCGTACCAAACCTCCAGGTCGGTTTTCGAGATTGCTGCGACGATTGCGGCGGCAACAGATCGGGGCAAGGTTTTGTCAAGGAGCGGCATGCCCTTTCCCTGCAACCCCCCTGGTCTGCGATGTAGACATGGCTCATAACCAGGTGGCGACAGAGAGGTGTCATTGTATGCGCAACCTGGGCAGTCATGTTGTTTTGGTTAGGGGTCGCGTACCACAAACTGGCATCTACAAGCTGGGCGCCGACTGTCGAGAAGCTGGCGTGCAGCCGCTGGCACAGCGCAAGAAGCGCGCGACTGCCTCCTTCGACCTCAAGGCTGGCTTCCCCTCACTGGGGAGGGAATGGCTCAGGAGCGCGCCCATCCGCTCTCGGCTCCCGCTGAAATGCCTCTCGTTCGCCGACGCGCCGCGCCAATGCGGAGGCCCGTGCACGGATCGCGGGCCTCCGTCTGTTCGCGGGGCCGGATCAGTTCAGAAGTGATGCGCAAGGGGAGTCCGCATTCGGGCGCCCCGTGGGCTCCAGGCATTGCTCCTGGCCCGCGGGCGTTGGTGACTTGTCTGGGCTCTCACCATCCGAGACGGCCGGCTCCCTGCGGACGGCTCCCCGCGGTCGCCGTCGCCATCGACGCCATGCGATTTTGGATTGTCATGGCATGGTACCTCTTCCTCGGTAATGATGCCCTGGCGTCCGAGTTGGCCAGAACCCTCGCGCGACTGTCCTTGTCACCGCCTGCAGCACGCGTGGATCCCTCCCCCTCCCCAGGCCCTCCCCCCTCTTCTTCGCCCGCCCCCCTACCCCTGACCCTCCCGCCACCCAGCTGGCTAGAGCCCAGGAAGGGACAGTGAAGCGCTCCCCCACCTTGCTCAGAACTCCTGCTATTCCCCTGGCCCAGCTCGTGAGAGCAGAGCTCGAGACGGCCAGAGGTTTGGAGGCATAGTGCCCTCCTCCTGTCGCAGTGGGGCTGCGACGGACATGAACTCATCTAGCCGTGCGCTCGTCCCGCTGACCCATCCCCCTCACCCCTGGCGTTCAGCGTTCCTGCTCACCAATGGCCTTGTCTCCCCCGTCTACTCAGGGCCTTCGGCCGGCAGGTGGAGGAGACCGCGGGCCCGTCGCTGTGGGAGGGGATGTTGACCGTGGCGAGACGGGGGCCGCGGCTCATCTTCACCCACTCGGACTTACTCGAGGCCGAGCAGGAGGGAGGACGACCCAGGCCTCCCACGTGGGGTCCCAGCAAATGGGGTCGGAGGATCGCGCCGCATCACCAATGCATCGCCGAAGCAGCGCCGATGCGGCTCGATGTGGAGCCCAATTTTCTCCGCGCCGACGGCGCAGATGCATTGGCGATTCATTGGCGATGCGGCGCGGTCCTCCGACCCCATCTACTCGGACCCTTTTTGGGAGGCCTCCAGAGGAGGCGAGGGGCGAAGGAGGACAAGAATAAACCCAAGATGCATCCGCGACGCTGCAACACACCCTCCCTTCCCCAGCCCCCTTCTCCACATGTCCCTGCAAACCTTCCTTTCCGCTACAAGCTGCACCCCATGTGCCTGCGATTCAGGCGAGGGCCCCGTTTGAGCAGGAGCTGCGGAGGTCTTAGCTGAGAGCCGCAGTTTGAAAAAGAGCCGCCATCAATCCGCGCAGCTGTGTCCAGTTTCTGCTGCTCAAATTTCAGGATGTCTGAAGGTGATAGACTCCTTTTGGAAAGGAGCCGCCCTCCATTCCTGTAGATGCTGCGCAATGTGTAGACGAATGCGCGCGGTGTTGAGGCGAAAGCTCCAGAATGGACATGCCCTCCCTCCCCCTCCATTTGCGCAGCTGTACATATGCATGCGCAAGCTGCTGGCTTGCAAATGTAACGCAGTTTCCAGCGAGAGCCCCATGTTCAAAGAATAGCCGCCCTCCGTCCTTGTATCGATTGCAAGATTTGACAGGCATGTTCGTTGCGCCAAAGCGAGAGGTCTATGTTGAAAACGCCCCCTTTGCATCGGTGCAATTGTTGCTGGATTTTACAGCGAATGCTCGCGGCTTCAAGACCATACACAGATATTGAGGAAGTCTCAGCCGGAACGCCCGGCCCGCCCTGCCGACATGTCTGGGGATGCGACAGGGGGGAAACCTCTAATAGGAAAAAGGGTGGAGGAGGAGTACGAGGACCAGGATGAGGAGGAGGAACCCTAGAATGAAAACGAGAGGAGGAAGAGGAACAAGGGGAACAGATGAAGATGATGGAGGGTGGAGGAGGATGGAGGAGGATAGAAGAGGATGGAAGAGGATGGAGGAGGAGGGGGGGGTGGAGGAGGAGGAGGACAATGAAAGATCGTTTGGAGGAGGAGGAGGAGGAGGAGGAAGGGAGGAGGAGAGAGGAGGAGGGAGGGAGGTGTGTGTGTGTGTGTGTGTGCTAAAGGTCGACCCGCTGAACACCGATCTCCGTTCATGGAGGGGCTTCATGAGCCACCTGACCGAGGCTGCGCACACGGCTGTGACCATGACCTCCGCGTGCCTTCCAGTTCACCGTGAGGAGACCGCCAGCAATTCCACCAACGGTTCCACCAAGGCGATCGGCAGGGAAACCTGTTGCTGCTGATCATTCCCATCTCCCTGTCTTCCACCTTCTCTCTTCTTCTCTCTCGCTCTCCCCCCTCCTCCTCCCATTCCCCTCCTACCCGTGCTTGGTTTGCACTTCTCCACCTCCCGCCCCCTCCCCTTCTCCCATCCCTCTCCTCGTCATTCTCATCGTTGTTGCCCTCCTCCTTCCTCCCCCCCCCCCCCAGTGGGTCCTGTCGCAGCGGGCGTCGCGCCGCCCAGGGTCCGAGCCCCTGCTCGCGTTGGCAGACCTGGGAGCGACGCTCCCGATCCGGAGCCGAGCAATAGCCATACCCATGTCCGCTCGAGATGCGGCCGCTTGGAGCCGCCAGGGGCTTCAACGCAGCACCGTTTGCCGCCTTCACTTGCCAGAGCGCTCTCCCGTTCCTCCACTCCTCCTCCTCCCCCTCTGGATCCTGCTCACTCACACGAGGGATTCCTTTGCACCGCTTCCTTGGCGTCCGGGTCGAACCTGACGAAGCGACAGACGCCCTGCACCGGATGCGGCATGGTGCTGGCTGCGCAGCCCTCCTGTCGTTTGCGCGATGGTGTTATACTGCAGCCACACTCCTCGGGCTGAGGAGAGGATCAGCGTTGCTGCCAGGGGCCTCCAAAACCGTCTGCTGGCAGATGGCCCGACAACCCCGAAATGCCGAATACCTCGGACCGTTTCGGCGGCATTGACTTTGATTCGGTTTCGTGGTGGCGCCAACCACACTCCAGTGCAACCCTCCGCCGCACTCGGCCGCGTAGGTGTCGTCGCCGTCGTCGTCTTCCTCCTCTTCCTCGTCCTCCTCTCCCGTGCTGCTCTCCATTTCTCCTTGTCTTCCCCCTCCGCCGCCTCCTCCTCCCCGCAAGGCACCCTCAAGGAGCCCGAGGTCCTCCGCGAATTCGCAGAAGCCTTCCGCGCCCTCGCAGAGGGGCTCCTGGCGGTGCAGGGGGAAGTCCAGGGGCGGGCAGGACTCGACCTCAACCGCCCTCCCCTCGAGGAGAAGGGGGAGGAGGACCAGAGTAAGCCCTGTACGCATCAACGCGCTGCAGTAATTACACCCTCCAGGCCCAAGCTTCCCACCTCGTCAGTCCCTGCCAGTGTTCCTCTCCACTGCGGGAAGCGCCCTCCTTGAATGACTCACGCTTTGTGTGCCTGCCACTCCAGCGAGACTCCGTTTTGTAAAAGGCTCACTCTCCATCTCTGTGTCTACAAGGGGCACAAGGAAAGCCGCGTTCTGGAAACAATTTGCTCTCCATCATTGTACTTGTTAGGGGCGTTTGTGTCAGCCAGCGTGGACCCCAAACAGACAGCGTTTGCATTGTGGACGTGTAAGCTAAGTGGTTCAACCCATGTAGTGGAATATCCGTGGTGCAACATGCATGGTACAAGCTGTGTGGTGCAAGCTAGGTGGTGCAAGTTATGTGGTGAAAGCTATGTGGTGCACGCCATGCTGTGTAAGCTGTTGTGCGCAGTAAGCATGTTCAAGCTTCGTTGTGAAAGCTATGCTGTGTAGGCGATGTGGTTTAAACTATGGGGTGCAAGCGATGTGATGCACGTTATCTTGTGCAATCCAGGTGGTGCAATCCACGTGGTGCAAGCTACCAGGGCGCCCACGAGGCGCCCACGGGCGGGCACCAGGCGAAACCTCGGCATCACCCTCGACCGCTGGGCGCTCGCGAGGCGCCAATGGGCGGGCACCAGACGAAACCTCGGCACATCCACCCAGCGCGGGGCGCCCACAGGGCGCCCACGGGCGGGCACCAGGCGAAGCCTGGGCATACCCCTCCGCCGCGGAGCGCCCATGAACGCCCACGGGGCGCCTACGGGCGGGCACCCTGCGAAACCAGCGCGGGGCGCCCTCAGGCGCCCACTGGCGGGCACCAGGCGAAACCTCAGCTTACCTCCCAAGCGCCTGGCGCTCACGAGGCGCCCACGGGCGCCCCCGGGTGGGCACCAGCCGAAAACCCGAGATACCCGATCAACTACTTAAGAACACCAAGTGCGAACCCCTAAGCACAAACTTTGTGTGGGGACAAACGTGTGTGCGCGGCGCTATGGCGAGAACCGCATTTGGGATGCCACTGGCCTTCCCTCCTGATAGCTGATGAAGACAATTCTAGACGCTTCGCGTAGGCACCGCCCCAAGGAGGAGGAAAGCATGGAACCACCTAGGTTTCTGCACAGACGTCGAGCTAGGCATAGACGCAAGCAACTTTGTCTACAATCTCACGTGGGCTTCCCTGGTCTGGTTCCTGGGGTTGGGCACCCCCTGGGACAACTCTCGACTGGCAGTCCCCGAACAGTCGCTCCCCCCACTACCCTTCGTGAAGGGCATCAGCCACCGCCCCAAGAACACCAGTCGATGCACGCCCAAGGGTCTCTTGCAGCAATTTCCTGAGGCGTGGAGCCTAGAAACGGGGAGGTGCAAGCGTCACCGTGCACACCCACGGATGCAGCACCTGAAGTCTCTGTTCCGCCCAGGTCAAGCAGATTCGAAGCTACGTAAGTCTCTCCTCAGCAGCGATGGGCTTCCTATGGACACCCCCACGTTCAGGGTCCTCTTGGTAGTTATGATGCTTCAACTGCGCGAGCCCCGCGCGACGCTATGGCCATTCCCACACCGTGAGGCCACAGGAGACATCTCCGAGGCAGCCATGGGCCTCTGCTTCCCCTGGCAGAACCTCCACAAAAAAATACAGGGCACAATTCGCGGAGGCCTGGGGATTCGACTTGTGCGGCCTCGCATCCCTCCACGGGAAGGTGGAAGACACCATCAGACATATCAGCACGCTCGCCACCTACGCCCACCACCACCAGGCTGCGACACGCCACGGGTGCCCAACCACGTGGGCAGGGATGATGGACTATGCATTCGCGCTGGAGGCCCCTATGAGAGTCCTCGAAGCAATCGTCAGGCCGACCGACATCAAGTCCCTGAGCAAGGAAAGTTGCTCCATCTGCACACTACACGAGGAGCTCAGCGGGACCGAGGATGGGCTCGGCCACCCTGACACAATGGCAGATCTGGAGTACATCGGCGGGGGTATAGCCATGTCTAAAAAGCGCCTCGACGAAGAAATCCCAGCATCCCCAGCCCCCGGTACAGCACACAACCCACCCAGGATAAGTGACGAAAGGTTCCTTACCAGGCGGCAGGATGGCAGCTTCGATTGCGACGGATGCCTGAATACCGGACTACAAGGCTCAGCAGGCACATGGGAAGATGATGACACAAGGGAGCTACTGGCGCAGAACCGCGCCCAAGCGTACCTGCAAGGCCGAAACTGCAGGTGGCTGTGCGAGCTGTGCTGGACCAAGTCACTGGAGGGCAGAGGCATCGAGGTCCCCCTGCTTGAGAACAAGGACCTCACCACCAAGAAGTCACTACAGCAGCGCCTACATACGTACAGACGCACATTGGATGAGGCCCGCTACGGAAAGAAAGCCAATACTCTCCCCTCCCCGGATCGGCTCCCAATTGGGTTCGGGCTCCCTGACCTTACGCAGGTCCCCATCACTCTGGATGACCTGGTCATGAACACCCCGCCCGCCCACAGGCCGCGGGCAGTTGGCACCGCCCTCCCAGCCCGCAAGCTGTCCGACGGCAGATTCGGGCCTGACTCGCACATTACCAGAACCTATTCCGCCATGTGCGACACCTGCCCCGTGGGGTCGCCACTGCTTGCGCGGTCTACAGACAGCCCCGCGCTCGGCTGCTTCACGTGGCGCCCTGAGACAGGCGCGCCGCGCTGCGACGAGACAGGGCTTCCGCCCTGGGATGCCATGCCCACGCTCTGGACCCAGCAGCAGTGGAACGCAGGATGGGCCTGTAGGCGATGCCTTGTCCACATCTGGAACATAGCGCCCGGCACTCTCGACCGCATCATGGACCGGGACTACTCCAAAGTATATCCCACCACTCCCACCAAACGCACGGCAATGGCAGAAGTCCAGGAGGACAGCTATGACATCAGCGTCCATCTCTCCCCGGCAGGCGTTGATGCAGCTGCAAAGGATGCATGCTCAAGGCAATCGGCCCCAGGGCACGCGCCCACCAACAACGACAGGGAGCATGACAGCGAGACAGGAGAAAGCAGTGACCCTGTCAGGGTCGGACGAGACGGCAACTCCGTGTTCCCCGACGTGGACCCGCCAGATTTGTCCCGTCCTACCAACTCAAACCACACTCAGGCTCTCCGGGGTGGAATCTGATGGCCCCGTTCACTCCATGGTACAGTGCCTACTGGAGTGGAATCACTTCGTCTACAAGCGCTGGGAAGACTTCGTACAGCAGCACGGTAACGGCATCCCAGGGGACAGAGCAGATGAGGAATTGTGGCCCACAGCGAGCTTGCTTCCTTTCTTGTTTTCGATTTACGGGGAATCGATCCCAGACAACAGCCACCCCCCCCAACATCCCTTGGGATGGGCAACGGGCCGCAGTGGCCAGAGAAGTGTACTGCCTAATGAGATCCAACTGAAAGTACCATGGCAAATGGGACAGTTACGCAGCCAACCTGTCAGAACAGAGAGGACAGCGCCCCTTCCGGCAGCGGGTCGGCACGCTGCTCACATTCCTTGCGAGAATTGACCAGGCCGCCTTGACCTTTGGTACCACCGCCGTCCTGTCCAGGCGAGACCTGCGCGAGGCTGGAGTAGGCTCCTCAGACACAGGTGATTCACCGGCAGCAACCTGGCTGAACAGAGCGCTCGGTGCCGAGGGCCTTCCCCCGCAAGCATTCCACGCGGGGCCCGCGCGAGCGGACGCTTCTGCCCAGACCCACAGGCCCCCCCCGCCTCAGGCACAGACGGGGGGCGCGCCCCTCAGGCAGAGGGGAGGGCCCCAACCGGCCAGACATGCAAGATCGAAGGTGAACCTGACGGGGTCGACTGGGGAAGGGAAATGGACAAGAAGAGCGAAACTGAAGGCGCCGAGGATCCGAGCCCGGAGCTCAGCCCTACCCCCGCTGCCGACGAGGAGGAAGTGGACCCCCTCAAGCTCTTCATGGAGATTCCCGACAGGCCAGACGCTTGGCCCCCGCATGACCAAATTGTTGTCAGGAATGCCGTCCGTGTAATCGAGAACGCGAAAGACAGCCCACCAAGAGCAGACAGCGCCTGGACCATCCACGACGCCAGGGATGATCGCACCCTAAGCCGCGCGAGTGGTGACAATGGCCGCCAGCGACCCGCCTGGGGCGATGCTAAGGAGGGGGGCGGCCGCGCCACCAAATCCCCAAGAGGCAACCCAGCAAAGATACACATCTCCGAGGTGCCCTGGAAGGATGCAAGGACCAATCAGCCCCCCCGAGGCAGCCCCAACGATCCCATGGGGGGCATCCCCATGTACATGCGCCCTCTGGCCGAGGCCGACGTCACCAAGGACGAGGCGTGCAGGAGAAGATAGTCCGCCTGCAAAAGACGCTGGGAGGAGCGTTCAACGGGATTTGGGCAGCGTGGGCAAGAAAGGACGCCATGCGACAAGGGACCATCGGGAGCGGAAAGCACGACCCGAAGCGGAACACAGTCCAGCTATGCAAAGACTTCATCTTGGAGCGGGGCAACGCAGGGTATGACGCCTACAAGATGGACAGCAACCTGAGGCTCAGCGCCCATTGGCCGTCGGTCAAGGACAAGCACATGAAGCTCCTCCAGCGCGAGCCCAAGACCCACCCACAACGCGGTCCCTCCAGCAGCAGTGGGCCCGCCCCGTGGACAGCAGAAGGCAGAGCAGCCGCGGTGACACCCACGCGTGACCGGTGGGCAGGTGCCATTGGCTCCGCTACCCCCTCCCGCTGGCAGGAATGGCAGGAATGGGATTCCTGGAGCCACCAGAAAGCACCGTGGCCAGAAACAGATTGGAAAGGAAAAGGCAAACGCTACTCCCCCAGAGGAGACGATCCGTACACAGACAAGCGTGCACGATGGTGGGACTGAGAGGACTAACGCACTCCGGGGTTCCAATCCC